GTGAAAAGCACCAATTTAGATACGACTGACAAACCACCTCATCCTAGTGCAAAAATATTTTGTCGAAAAATGTAATTTTTTTTCTAAAATGACGTGTTTCCATTGAGCAAATTTATTTTTGAAATTCTAATTTGCACATTTTCATGGTGAATGGAAACACAGCTACTAAAGAASGATTATTTACAGGTAAACAGACCTGATGGAGCTCAGGGAATACTGTACCTTGTGTCGTGGGTTGGAGGTGTTCATGACGCTGCGCAGCTCCCTGCCTGTGTAGATCACAACCCCCACCACTGTGCCTGGGAGGGAGGGGGGCGACAAAACAAAGTGCCTGGGGTTACTAGAATAAGCCTTGAACATAAACCATAATATGTCAGAAAGATGTTTCCCAGACCTATAATCCTGACATGAGGAGACATTTTCAAACCAAGAGAGTCCAGATTAAATGACATAATGGATAACACATGTTGGGGGGGCTTCAGGGAGTTTATTTTCCTCCAGGAGAAACACTGAAATAAGGAACTTTCCCAGAGTCATTTATTAATGGGTTAAGTGTTTGCCTGTTTATTTGTTTTTATTTTTTATTTGAACGTATGTTTGGTTTGACAGATGCTCAGGAAACTGGTTACAGATGAAGCACCAGTCCTGGTGGGTTTGTTGGACTTTAGTTGTGTTAAAGTTGTGTGATCATTCAGATATTTACCAGAAGCAACAACGGTGCTGGCCCAGAGCGTATTCTCAATACTGAGGCTTTCATTTACAGGCGGGTCTCCATCCTCCTGCAGCACAATTAAAGTTTTATTTATAAAGCACCTTTCACAGAAATATATTCACAAGGTGCTGTACAATCATTAACTGTATAAAAATGGTGAAAAGAATAAAATGAAACAGAAAAACATTATTAAACATAAGAAATTAAAACATCAAATCAAGAATTAATTTGTAAAAATTGTAACTCAAACACAAGGTCAATGCAGGTCAAAATACACAATAATACACAAAAACATTATGAATGTGAGAGAGAAAAATATGGTGTAAGTTCAATAATAAACACAGATTAGTGAAGCTTTCACAATGGAGGTAGGCTGGCAGTAATGGTGAAATGTTAGCTAAACGTCTTAGTGAAAAAGTGAGTTTTTAGGAGTGGCTTGAAAGAGACGATGTTATCAATGGAGCTCAGATTAAAAGGGAGTTAATTCCAGAGCCTGGGGGCCACAGAGGAGAAGGACCGGTCACCACGGGTCTTAAAGTGAGGGAGGGGAACCATGAGGAGATGTTGATCCTGTGAGTGGAGGTCTCCTCTGGGGTTGTAAGGTGAAATGAGACTTTTAATGTATTCAGGTGCTTGGCCATGAAGAGCTCTGATAAACAACTCCTACTTTGTAAAGAAACAAGTTTTATTACCAAGAAACAATCTTCATTTCTGTCTTTTTTTTTTTAAATTCAAGGAGTTCTTGACATATTTGACTAACAGTGCTGAAGGAGTGACGGAAAAATAATCGGGTAACAAACGGCAGAATATTAAAGTTATATAAAGTAAAACAGATTTCAACAGAGCTCTTTCTTATTGCTCATGCTGAAGCATTTAATACACTGACATTCAGCAGAACGCCCACGCACCGTTTTTTTTGTTTTATTTTTGAAGTATAATATCTGTTTCCTGTTCAGCCTGTGTCCATGTTCAACACCACTGACACCTCATTTGACCAACTGGGTTCAAGTTTCACCTGTCTAAGACCAATAACATATCAGTGGTGACC